CCAACCTAAGAGTGGTGGCGTCCAACCTAATAGCAATGGCCTCCAGCCTCCAACCTGCTAGCGACAGTCTTGACCACTGGCTCATCTGCCGCCCGAGCCGCCGAAGAGCATGGCGTTCGCCGGCTCGGCAGCCACCGTCGCCGCGGCCAGGGCCGCCGCCGCGTCGGGGCGGAGGTCCCGGGGACGAGGTGACACGAAGCAGGGTGCCAGGCAGAGCGCACCTCGGTCAGAGCGATGTGCCCGGTTGCGTCCTGGTAGCAAGAATGCTCCTAGTAGCGATGCCAGGAGCCCCTAGTAGCATCCTTGCTGGCACTAACAAAGGAAGGCTTTTCCACAGCATCCTTGCAGCACTGTGACTTTGACGATTTCTGATCTTCTGCAACCAAATCACCGATCAGCAGCATCACGATCTTGGTGCTCTTGCTCCTGCGTGTAAACGTGCGGAATGCGGCGATAAAGGATACCAATGTGCTTTGATTCGAAAGGTATGCGATTCATGGATACGAATGTATCAGACGCGGGCAGGGTGTGGGGAGGAATGCAACTCAATTCGTGTCGGCAAGCCAGTGCAAACGCAGGCAACATGAAGCAACCAACAACTCCCCTGTCCTCATGACAGCCATTGCCGAACCGCCGAGTCTATAGCAGCGTTCTCCCGTTGTGCGCTTTGATCTGATTGGAAAATGCTGCCGGCAAGTGCTGGAGGAGGGCATGTCTGGAAGGGGGCACAGACAAGGCGACGGACTACTTGCATCCGTCAGTGCAGCTGACAAAAGTATCCAAATTCAGTGCCTTGATCTGGAATTCGTCCCTCTAGGGCTGTGCCAAGGGGGCTACCCACGGGACTCGCCGAGATCCCCGCTAGCTCATCTTGGCCTTCCTGGCCAAACACTTTCAGATTAGGATGCTGAAGAAGCACAGGTCACTGAGTTCACCGAAACTCGGACCACTTCGCTGGTCCGAAGGGATCTTCAATTCACTAGGAGCAAGGACGCTACTAGGGGCTCCTGGCCTTACTACTAGGAGCAAGAAGCTACTAGGGGCTCCTGGCATCGCTGCTAGCAGCAAAGACGCTACTAGTAACAAGGGCATTACTAGTAATATATAACGGCCTGGCAGCGCTGGATTTGACAGACTTCTCCTGGAAGGCCAAGGCGGGTGAGAAGCACCTGGGGGTGGCCCAGGAGAGGCTCACCTCTCCTCCTGGTGCTCGCAATGATGCAATCGGGGCATTCACATTTCTATAGGAACAAGGACGCTATTAGGAGCAAAGGGCATCGCTACTAGGAACAAGGACGCTATTAGGGGCTCCTGGCCTTACTACTAGGAGCAAAGGTTCGCTACTAGGAACAAAGGGCATCGCTACTCATCACCAAGCCCACAAGCGTGGATGCGAGACTGAATTGCCTTGGGGATCCCTTGCTGGCAGCCCGGCACAAGCTACTAGGGTGGAGGCCATTGCTTCCAGGTTGGATTGGAAACAAAGAACAATAGAAAAAGAAACAAACAGACCTCCAGTATATTAGGGAGGCCATCGCTACAGGAAACATCTCTAACCCGAGAAAGATCAGCACCGCCCGGCACAAACTTGTCCTTTGTAGTTGATGGTGTCCCCCTCGGTCATGCCCAAGACGCCCAGGCATTCCCTCACCTCGGGACCACGCGAAGCCGATCACGAATGGCCCACCGCCCACAGACCGATCCGTAGCTCCGATCACGAAAGAGATATCGACATTTCACGATAGTTCGCTTCTAGCTATGTTCGTAGCTTCTTGTTCCTGTAGTAATGGCCTCCAACCTACTAGCGATGGCCTCCAACCTAGTAGCTTCTAGCTTGAAGTTCCAGTGCATAGCCACCATTTCCATCCATTTCCCCCTTCGGGGAGGGAACCGTTTTCTAGTCTGGGTCACTGGCATTGTGCACCCGCTCCAGCAGAAGAGGCTTGCACCCCGCTGTGTAGCCTTTGGGCAGCTCGCACCGGCCCAAAAGCCTTGGCGATTGCAGGTCCAGCTGGCAGCAAGGCCGGCAGCTGTGACGGCGCTGTGTGTGCTGGTGCACGACAGTGCGCGATCTACGTAGACACTTGATAAATAAACCCCAGCCATTTGGATTGTAAATCTTCTTCATACGGGGCTGAATGCCAGCAAGCCTTCAACCAATTTGGGTCAAGCTAGTAGCAAGAATGCTCCTAGTAGTTATGGCCAGGAGCCCCTATTAGCAAGAATGCTCCTAGTAGCCTTCAACCAATTTGGGTCATCAAGCTTCACTGGGAATTGCTGGGCCAACCTCTCCGGCTCCGCGCCTCCCCGGTAGCTGGACCCAGTCCAAGCGATCTTTGGCTTGTATCGACTGCCCAAGCTGTGGGGCAGTGCTGATCAGTTCACAGTGAACAAGCCAAACATGTGAGTTATGTCTGGAGCATCTCCAAAAATGCCCCAGTCGGACACAGGAAATGCGATAATGATAATACGGTAATGCATGATAGTACAGCCCACCTTTAAACTAGTTCACAGATTCAGTTGGTAGAGCATGTGTGACCAAGTGTTGTCCAAATCGCTTAGAGACTTGTTAAAAGCATCTAAAAGCTGGTGCTCACCACAAGTATGTAGGTCTGCTGCGGGATGAGTCAATGACTCCAAAACGAGCACATGAAGCTTGGTCTTCCGAGAGTCTATCTACTTTTGAGGTCATCCTTCTTGTATATAGCAACAAGAAGCTACTAGTAACAAGGGCACCGCTACTAGTAACAAGTGCCTTACTAGTAGTAACAAGAAGCTATTAATTTATTCTATTTTTAATTTAATTCTAATAGCTTCTTGTTACTACTAGTAAGGCACCTGTTACTACTAGCGTGGCACTTGTTACTAGCAAAGACGCTACCAGTAGCCATCTCACTCTCAGAAGTCTCGACCCATTTGGCTCTCCACTCTCAAGGAGACTTCGTCACTGCTAAAAGGGAGGCACCAACTCAAATACCCAACCATAAGAAAACCAACAGCAATTTTAATGAGTTTCTCGAATCACAACCCATCACTACATCAATCCACATCCATCACTGTATACATACATCCACATATTACCTACCCCAGAACCCCTTTCGGAAAACTACACCCAGTTACTGGCCACCCCACCTCCAAGGGGGCAATGCGCCCGGCCACGCTGGCCTGACGCGAGCGAAAAAGCACCGATTGAAATTGGAGCCTGCCCAGTAGACGTAGCAGACGTAGCTGACGTAGCTGACGCAACTCGACCAAAACACCGGATGCCACGACGGTACCGAGCAGCGCTGTCCGTCCGAGCGCGGTCGACGGCCCCTTTCGCCGCAAAACTGTGCCGCGAAACGCCTGGAGGGCACCGAAACGCTGACGGACCTCGGGAGCTACATGGAGCTGCAGAAAAAAAAAACAAGTATGCAGCATATGCACTCGTTACTAGTAGTGCTAGGAGCTCCTAGTAGCGTCCTTTCTCCTAGAAATGCCCTTTGTTCCTAGTAGCTTCTTGGTACTAGCAGCCTAAACATGAGGCGACAAACGTAAAGACTTTCATCATTGGTTCGGTGCCCTTTTTTCGAACATACACATTCTGTAAAGGAACCTGTCAAAGCCTACGTCGCATTGAATGGACATGGAATGACATGTCAGGTCCCCTAGATTTTGCGCAATTACTGACAGCTGCTGAAGATTGCTGAAGTATTATTGGAAGATGCCGACCAATCAGGGCACTGCAATGAAAAAAGGAGTCATCTGCACCCAAAGACTGTAGATAGCGAATCGATGAAATAAACATCGACTCTTGGTTCGTTGAAAGGATGAAGGATGAATGTAAACGTTGAAGGGCTGAAGGGCACATGAATTCTGGTCTCCCCATAAATCATGTAAAATACATAAACATATCCCATAGCTGCCTTACAAACCCTAAACCCTATTAAGCTACTCTCACGTCCGGTCTGGCCTGGAGTGCGAACAAAACAGCCCACAGCAACAGCATGGGAGCGTGGACCATGCGGACCGATCCGCATGGATCCGCATGGCAATGTGCCCACAAAGTGACCAATATCCTGTGCATGTTGATGGTCCTCATCTGTGGGCTACAGAACCCACCATGAAGATATTTCAAGAGTAGACTTTGGAGCGCTTTTGTACCGCTTCGGGGGGGGTGGCATGCCGTGTGCCTGAGGCCAGAGGCCGATGGAAACGTCACATCTATTGAATCTATTGGATGTTAGCGACGCGATGTCATAGAATTTAGATCCACGTGCATCTCGCGTAGATTGCATAGGAGCCAATGGCCAATGATGCTTCTTGCTTGATTGCTAGCTCAAGAGCTTTGTGCAGGGAAAGCAGCAAGCATAAAAATTCTCCCAGCTAGTGGCAAGAATCCAACGGTTTCGCCTTTAAACATCTTTCATTGCTACGAGTATAGAGGCCATCGCTAGTAGGGTGGAGGCCATCGCTTTAAAAAACACTCTGCTCAGACTCTGCTTCGCGAAGTCCACCGAAGACCCTCCGAGCCCCAGCGGTTTTTGGGACGCTCCGAGGCCACACGGTGAACCACTCCGAAGCCAGAGATGTGAAAAAACATGACAACTGAGGACCATGCGGTCATGGGTGCCCATGATGCCAGGAAAGCGGAGTCTAGTGGATAGACTGGGAAAAGAGCAAAGCAAACAGTGAAGGGGAGTCTCTTTAGGGGAGTCCTGGCCGGATTTTGCCACCGATCAGGTCGATCGATGTCGATCAGGTCCGCCTGATAGAAGCACTAGCTGCACTAGCTCCAATCCTGGCCTCGCTGCCCTTAAACTTTCGCCTTCAACATTCGCTGAAGCTGCGAAACAGACTGACCCTTCCAAGAGTCTGTTCAGAGATAGCCTGAAGGTGCATTCAATCACGATGCGCAAAACCAGCGATCCTATGTCTGATGTTTTTCGCAGCCATCGCCCATTGAAAACAGCTATACGGATCTATACGGCACATACGGTGCTTCTTGGTGATTTCATTGGGCCAAAGGATCTTCGATCACACCTCGATCAAACGCACCTCGAGGAAGTTCACAGCCTCCCTCCAGGAGGATCAACTCTGGATGGACCCCAATTCCGGGTCGAGGGGATGCTATGGCGAAAACGCATGGCTATGAAGAATGATGATCTTGCCTTCCCCTATGTTGGGCCCAACTGGGCAGGGCTAAGAGCTCCGTTTGAAAACAGCCAGTTTGAGGGCCCCCGGCAAGGACTGTTCTGCGGTCCAGGGCCACGGCCACATCAAGCAGCTACACACCATGTTAAGCTTTAGAAACCAAATCATTAGCTATCCTGCGTCCAGTTACTAGAAGCTAACTTAGCCATACTTAGCCTAGTAGCTTACTCCTCCCTTACTTATATAATTAGGTAGGTCATGGTGGCGTTTGAATCACTCACATCGACTTGTCTTCCGTCACGAAAACACACTGGAGAAGTTGGAAGCGAAACCGTGCTCTGAGAAGAACTGACTCGTGAGCCCTTTTCCCTGGAATTTTTCCTGGAAAACACATCTTCACCTACTTCCACCTGTTCGTTCTCAGTGGGGCAACCAATCCCCAAAGAAGGTGTAGGTTATCCACTTCTCTCCAGGGTAGGAAAATGATGAAGGATCGATCCAAGACTTGAAAGACTGTGGATGTTTGAGAGGCTTGACTTCGCTTACCCCATGTTGACCGTTTCTGGCCAGGCCGATGAACACCAGTGCTAAAGCTGATGGCTCGGCCCATGAGTTATGTCCACAGGTTCATCTTCTCCCAGGCCTTGGTCTAGTCCGCTGGGCAACGGAGAAGGCTGGAAGGGAATGGCCGGGGTTCAAAATCTGGTGCCAGTTCACCCTGGAGACGATCAAGTTTGCATGTTGGCAGGTGCATGGTGACAGGAATTTGGGAATAACAACACCTGGACCTTCATCCCATACGAATCTTACTATATACATCTATATACACCCATAGCTCCAGCATCTGGCTAGGGCACTGAGTGGCTGACAGTGATAAAGTCAAAGGCGGCCAGTGGTTTCGTCGTCCAGAATGACACATTTCAACGGTGATGTTTGCACTTTGGAGATGCAAGGGTCCAGTAGCTAACTAACCAAACTTGACTCTTCGTTGTGGCACAACTATACTGTAAGTGGCCCAGCGGAAGGTACCACCTTCCAACCTTGTGGCATCACCAAAATACCCCTTCACCAACATATCCTTCTCTGAAAGGTTCTGTCTGAACTCATCTGTCGTTTCTCGACTCGGCTCCCAACTTCGCATGCGAGGATGTGCCGGGGCGTCTGGCCGTAGGCCTGCCTTCCGGTGGTGGTTGACCTCAGCCGTCGACGGAGCGTGGGTCGCTTGGGAACTCGTCCAAAACGGGAGCCAAGGGGGAGCGATGAGTGGCCAGATTGCTGGCCAAGTGAATGCTGTTGATGGCCTTTGCTCAACTTGCCCTGCCACACGTCATCAAGGACAGTTCTCAGTTGAGGAAACCCGAATTCATGCCCAAACTGAGGGAATTGCCAAAAACCTGTTTGTCATTGATCGTTTCTCGTTTGGCAGGAGTTTAATTTGCCCAAACAAGGGCCCAGCAGGGCAACTCGTTCTGCCGCAATTCCGATTTGATGAAATCCAATGGTCGCTGGAATCAAACAGCGGAACAAAAACCAAACACACACAGATAAATATATATAGTGTTAACTATATGTAACTATATATGTATTACGTTTAAATACTTTTAACATATATAAACTATCATGAATCCTCATCAAAGTAACACTCCAACTCCATCTTGTCATTCTTGTCCTCCAATTCTTCCCGATGAGTCTGCCTGGCCTCTCCAATTGCCCGTTGTCTCACACGAGCCAGGCGAATTGGTCCTGGCAAAAACCCAGCTACGGTCTACACATCAGTTACATCAAACACAGGTTTCTCTCATGCATCCACCTGGTATCTACTTGTGCTTTGCTTTGCACGTCCTAGACTCAACACTCCAATACTACTCCATATTCTTTGTCTCCTGGCCCTTTGCCCTTTGTCTATTAAACTTACGGAGTGTCGATGTGTTCCACCCTCTCTCTTCACTTTGAGCTGTCAAACCCTTCAGCCCTCCCATCCGGTCAACCCCGAACTTGTGCATCCGATGTCTTCATCCGATGAGAGAGGACGGAAGCCATGAGAATCGACGCGCTCGCCTTCATTGCCTTCATGCTCCTGCGTGCGCGGTGAACGATCCCATTGGGCCCAACATGAGTCCAAACAACCCACTTGCCTACCTCTACACCGATCAGATGTCGTTAAACGGTCCGCTTTCAACGGTCCCACACCGGTTTGGTCTCGTGCCTTCGAGAAAAAAAAACACCGCACCTCCAGGTCCACCTCTTCGGGACTGCCTGCGCCGTGGAAAGGACGCGTGTTAAGTTCTACTTTTACGGCTACTATGCTGGTCAAGGGCACAACATAACAATCCAAGCAAACCTCGAACGTCCTCAAACATCAAACTATTCAAAACTTCCCATTTCTTCCTCGTGCCCACTGCCCTACCCCGTGCCTGGTCCACTAGTCGTTGGGCTGAGCAAATTCTGCAGCCGGAAGCGCAGCGCTTGCTGAGCCCTTACACAGGCCGTGCTGGCCGCATTTTGCAAAACATCCTCCACAACCTGGCTGGAGAAGACGCGCCACACACTTTTGGGGGGCTAGAGAAACTCAAGGCGTCGGAAAACTGAAGACGGAGTCAAACGAAGTTCGTTTCTCAGCGCACAACAGAATCACATGAAAAGGACGTTTTTACAACCCAACCTAGAAGCGATGGCCTCCAACTATGGCGAAGGCCTCCAACCTAATAGCGTTGGCCAACCTAATTATATGATAGCCATGGCCTCCAACCTAATAGCAATGGCCTCGAAACTGAGAGGAAAGGCCTCCAACCTGCTAGCGATGGCCTTCAACCTAATAGCAACGGCCTCCAACCTAATATGCGATGGTCATTGGTGGTCTCCAACCTAATAGGAATGGCCTCAAACCTAATGACCTAATGGCGATGGCCTCCAACCTAATAGCACACCCTAAAATCACATGACTCTGACGGAGGAGATCCCGTCACCACTTCACCACCATCCACCTGTACTTTCCTCCCTTTGCTGCTGTGGCCTCCATGGCACTTCTGAGAGCTACGTCCATGTCCCGCTCGGTGATCGCCAAGAAGTCTGGAGAAAATGCCACGATGCGATGGGCGATAGGATGCGATAGGATGCGATAAGTGTGTGTAGGGTGCTCCTAGCAGCGTCCTTGTTACTAGCAGTAAGGCCAGGAACCCTAGTAGCGTCCTTGCTCCTAGTAGCGATGCCCGTTGTTCCTAGCAGCGTCCGGTATGTGTGTGTGTGTGTTTATGTTGAGCTCTCATGGCTATCCGTGTGATAGGAACCTGATGTTGAACCAATTGTGGGTTTGTGAGTGCAGCGTTCCCAATTGCTTTATAGTTTTGTCATGTTTAGTCCCATTGTTGCTATCAGAAGCACAATGAAGCCACAGGACCAAAAACGCGAATATAATATTGCTCGAGCAAATGACCTTACAACTTCGACAGGTCTAACAGAGTCTAACAGTGGCAAAAACATGCAACACGGGTATGCATGAGACCGACCTAAAACTGAATAGCCCCGTGAAAGAAAACATAGAAAACAACTGCGGGATTTGCTGCAGCTGGCCTGCGCGGTCCTGATGCTCCTGGTCGTTCAGCATCTTCACATTCTGGCCGCACTGGGCAACGCGCCGCGTGCTTTGGCAACGCGAAACATTGAAATAAGGATTCACGAAAACAGACATATGCAACGACAGCACGGAAGCGGGCGGCGGCTCATCCGCGCACACGGGTTTGACTCATCTGCGCACACACATTTTCTTAGCACTTGCGCCTCATCTGCGCACACAGTTGTTGACTCATGCGCGCACACTGTCCATCGGGGAGACTCAAGTGCGCACACAGGCCCTTT